GAATAAATAATTAAATATTACAAAACCCTAATTAATTAACAAATTAACTAGGAAAGCGGATAAACTAGCATGCAAGCTTATGGACCGCCTCAGCTCTGTTCCAAATGATGAAATATGCATGCTTGAGTTGCCTGGTGCGGAAATCCATCGCGATGCCTCGATTCGCCTCTGTTTGCAATTAATGCCGGAATGCTGTGCAAGGCTTTAAAAAGCTGCTGATTTCTGATTTGCTGCAACGGAGAACAAGAAAGGGGCACAACAAAGTATTTTCACATATGTATGCATGACTACTCTTCAGGGAGTGTAGTCCCAATCATCTCGATGCATGATGGCCGAGGAGTCGAATTGCATGACTCGATGTGAAATGAATGCACATATAAACACAACAAGACCTAAACTCCATCATGAGTAATTCGGAGTGTCGGCGACCGGGAATTGAGACACGTTCCGTCACTCGGAGTACGAAACGTCCCTCGTTTCCCGTGCTTGGGCTAACTCCTATCCCAAACACAATGCAAATGAGAGGGTATACACAATGCGACTAACATACAAACTAGCATACGCAATGCTATGAAATGGCATACACAATGCTCGATGTAACATGGCATACACAATGCTCTAACATGCAACCTAGCATACGCAATGCTATTGACCAAAATGGCATACACAATGCATGATGGACTTACACCAAAATGAGTGGACCTCAGCCACACTCACATCAGTGGCCATTAGATGAAAATGAGACAACCGAATTACGTGCACACATGTACGAATACCAAGGACCGAACCTAAGGCATCAAATGCCACTCTACCAAGGCATGGCAAGGGATGCAATATGGCATAGAATAGCATATGATACAGCTCTGAAACAGCATGCAAAGTGGTCCCAAATCATGCAAATATGTCACACAATGCAAGTTAGGGGGCCCGGGTACTGACACTAGTGTAGTACGTTACACTAGAGGTACCCAAAGCAATCCACCAAAGGCAAAACCAATCCCAAACAGACCCTAGGCAGGTCTAAAACAGTGGGGAAATGGCCTAAAATGATGGCTCGGAATGCAACGAAATGGAGCTCATTCAATGGTCCGAAAACAAAGCATACAAGCCCGACTCTAAAACGCATTTAAAGAGTACAAAACATGGCAATATGGAATTAACATAGGCTCTGAAATGTGATGCAAAACGACCCCGAAGCATGAAAATACCTAAGCACATGCATGCAATGGACCTCAAACCTCAAAGTTAAGCATGGGTATTGAACTACAAGCATGCAAAACAAACATCATTCAAACATGAGACCCAAAAACAGAGCTAGGGTAGTCCAAAATAAGCACATTATCAGTTTAAGACATGGCCAAAATGTGCTAAAATCAAGGTCTAACAAAGCATGCAAAGAAAGTTAGTGAACCATGAGTTGTTCTACAACTATATAAAGAATATGAGGACTCACCAAACCAGCCAAAAACAGATGTATGCCATGTCAAAATATGCCCAAATAACCACTGAAACTCAGTCAATGCATGCAAAAATGATGGGCTCCTTTGAAAGGCCAATAAGAGGGTTACTCTACACATACATGATGGACATCAATGATGGAAAAACCACCTCTGGAAATAGGTTATGACTACCCTAAAACTCACCAAAAATGCCCTGAAATCAACCTAGGAAACATGCAAATGAAAGACCCTTTGAAAGGCCTTGAGTGGGATTGTTCTACACATGCATCATAGATATAAAATATGGCCAAAGGGGCACCAGCAGAGTCAAGGCAGACCTTGAAACTCACCAAATTGGGCCTAAAAAGTGACTTCACAACATGCAAGTAAGGGGCCCTTTGGAAGGCCAAAAGGGCTAACAAACAAGACAAGGAGAGAGGGAGTCACCCCCCTCTAATTTTAGCTCTCAAAAACACATCTAAGCCACTAAAAATCCACTGGATTTCAGTAGCTAAGAGGCCAAACCAAGGCCAATGCGAATGCTCTAATGCATAGCCCTAATCCTGAGGAAATGAAGCATGCCAAGAGGAAGATGACCCCAAACAGAAAAATGCCCTTAATCAAACATGTTTGTAAGCTCAAAAGAAAACTTTTTTCAGCTTATGTCGAAGTCCAAAAATTCTTGCAAATAAGGCTAAACAATGGAGTAAAATAATGCAAAAATGGGGGACATAGAGGCTTACCCTTGTAGAGCTGACCCTCAGCAACTTCTGGACCAATAATGTGACTCCTCAAGGTCTGCAAATGACCTCCAAGATGCTTGAATGGATGTTGGAGGTGGTAGGCTATGAGGTGTAGTGTAAAATGGCCAAGAATAATGGGATTTTGATGCTTGGAATGGAGAGTTATGGCGGAGGGTGTATGTATGCCTTAACCAAAGGATTAAACCCCTGCAATGGAAGCTCAGCCCCTCCTTTATAGAGGAGAGCTTCTAAATCTTCTTAAGGAAGCTAAAAACCAAGCTTAAACATCCTCCATACACGTGTATGGAGGATGCATTCTGAGGATTCCAGCTAGCACAGCTGGCTTTAACTCAAAGAGACCAAAAAGCAGGAAGCAGGCCGACCAGTTAAGGTGGTCGGCCGGTCACTCCCCCTGGTCGGCCAACCAGGGGTCAAAAAGGTCAAGGAGAAATGCTGGCCAGCCACTCCAGAAAGGTGGCCTTCCAGATAAGTGCAACACAGCTGTATGGTGGAAAACTAGAAAATGTGAGCCAAGAGAGAGAAAAACCAGCTTTTTAGCAAGGTTCAAAAGGGTTAAGAAAAATTACTGGTCGGCCTACCCATATTGGTGGCCTCCCAGATAAGCACAACACAATGATGGTATGAAAACTCAAAAATTGTGGCTCAAAAGTGAGAAAAACTAGCTTTTTGTCAGAAAAATCGGCTTTAGGAGAGAGAAAAAGAGAAAATTAGTTTCCAAGGGGAAAAGGTGGCCTCCCACCATACTACCACCTCCCTAACAATGAAAATAGGGTCCCTACCAAAAATGGACCAAGACGGATGCAAAACGAGGGTTTGGGGGCCAAAACGCGCAGTCCGATGCCCCGAAAACAGGCTATTAGGCACCGGAAGTGGTGTGCGACCACGAAGGTGGTCTCTTAGGCCACAGTGTCCCTCTAAAGGGAGGAAATAAGGTGTGTGCCAAAAACCGGAGCAAATGGAAGTAATTAAGCGGTCTTGAACTGAGGCACACGGCCGACGGCTCCGAAAACCAGAAACTGGCCTCTAAACGGGAAAAATGGCCTACAATCATGAAACGTAGCCTACGGCCACTGAGAGATGGTCTACGAGACCTCTCCCTCCTTTCGGGAAGAGAAAACAGAGAAAACAGGACTAGGTTCGCAAACCGAGGCAAAGAACAAAAGAGTCCCAAAGTCCGGAAGCGAGGCTCTTAGCCGAGACTCCGCAACCTCAGAACGAGCACAATATGCATCATCATCGAGCGCTCAACTAGTGACGTCTGAGTCTTAAGGCCGGTCAAAAATGGGGTGTCTACAGTCATCAATTTTATCCACAGGCTCTGTCAATACAAAATATTCTTGAGAACGTAATCTGAAGCATAGCCGAAAAGGTGAAAATATGCATGTCTGTGAAAACTAAAATTTCTCATACACGTAAGAGGCAAATGTAAGAGAAGTTAACTTGAGCCCACTAAATTAATTAGGCCAAATCAGAAAGTCCAAGATTGGTGGGCCCGAATTGATCGCCATCAAATAGGCCGAATCACTCTAAGTCTCGAAAGGATTCGGATCCACGAACTTAGAGACTTACTTGGGGCCGGACTCGAAAAGGTATTAAGCAAGCCTAGAGACCCGAGGCCCTCGAGCATTGAACAGATTAGATCGCAATCCAGAAGCTGCTCTATTAGTAAGTCCCAGAACATTTGCGGACTTAGAGCATTCCAGGATCGACCCACTAGAATCATGAGTGAGGTTAGAGCCCGAACAAAGGGCCCGAATCCTGAGAACGATGGGTGGAGATAAATTCACCCATCAGTTGATTTTGCCTATACCCAGGTTGAGGTGGCACGACCCCGAGGGGTCCATAAGACTCGGCAATATTTAACGGTGAGGGGTCTTCTAGGACTACCTCGGCCCTTTGGGATGATTGGGGATCATTCGTTGGGTGTGACTAAGAAGAAAGGTTTGCAGAGAGGTTGATCTCCTCTTCGGGATTTTCCTCATCCTCGGAGAGGTCACCTCCTCGAACAAGATTTTTAGAGGGAATATTCCCCATATGCCTTGTATATGGTCTCTATCCTACATCATTAGGTGCCTATAAATAGCACCCACCCATAGCTTCATAAGGGATGGATTTTTGAGAGATAACTTTTGGGAAAGAACTAATTTTCCTTCTCCATTATCAACCTTGAGAGTGAAAGTAGAAGATCCATGGGAGAGCCTCACCATTTTTCTCTCGCTAACTACGTTGCCGTCTTCTTTTTCACCCAATCTCTTATCTCTATCATCTCTTTGGTCTTGTGTTCTTAATTGCAACTATTGAAGAATCTAAGTCTCTCATCATTTCTAAAGGAATTCGAGTCTTCTTCGAAGATTTTCAAATTTTTCAACAACGTTGTTGAACCCTCTCATACAATTTTTAATTAAAAAAAATTGAATACTCAAATAAAAGTGAGAAAAATAGAAGAAAATTAATTCATAATGTAATTTTTTATTACGTATAATTCTCTTATGTTTTGTTTATGTATATTTTAGATTGAGTAAAAGTCTTTTAAATATTAGATTTTAAAGAAAATCAGGTATAAAGGTATATTGTTGTGGAATTTTAAAAAATAATAATAATAAGAGGAAAAAAATACGCCACATATTGGAGAAAAAAAATTTAAAGGCAGACACTACTTTTAATAATATATATATATATGATACCATGATATGATTTTGCATCACAATCATGCAATGAACCAACCATACCTATAGTTATGCAGCAATCCCGTGGTTTTGCAGCCTGGTTCAACAACACAGAGTCCGGACCACACTCATTTTAACAGATTTCATTTTCCTCATAAAACAAATGAAGCACAAGATCAAACAACTTTTATTATTTTTCTTGATCATCCTACTAGAATTCATATTTTCTCCAGAATAAAGCGAAGAAGATAAAACTTGAACACATTTATAAGAAAAAAAAACCAGTGCATTTTTCTTGTATATACATTTAGAGTTGAGAGACTCTCCTTATTCTCCCCAAGCAATTATCTTTAGGCCTTTGATGTGGTAAGTACATCACACGACAACCCGGGTTAGACCGTTCAAGCCTGCAGACACGATTAAAAATATCACAGTAAATATACGTATCCATATTATCTCTCATTTCCTACAATTTATCGTAAGTAAACATAACTATTTTACCACATGGAATAGTTGTTGCTAGCAAATATTGAAGTTATGTGATCAAGGACGAAACTAGGGTCTTATTGAGGAATGCCACCATAAAAAAAAAAGAAGGAAAATGAGAGACGACTATGATGATTGACTCTGGTTGATGGTGATGATGATAGGTTTCTTCGAGTTTCATTAGTTTGAGATACACCTAGTTCCACCCCTATCTTATGGAAGTGAAAATTTAGAATAAGAAAATGTATGTCGTAAAAGTACTCACTTGTAACCAAGAAGAAAATAGTGTAGAAAAATAGCAATTTCTAGCTTCGCAAGCTCATTTCCAGGGCACAACCTGGTTCCTGCTCCAAAGGGAACAAAAGATCCTGCTTTGGGAGTAAGTCCCTAAACAAAATGTAAAACATTTTAGCATATTACATCCTAGCACAAATACAAACATGTATAATATGCTATATATGTGTAAATCAATTAAGAATATGAAAAGAAGTGGTGCTATCGAACTTACATCCCATCTGGAAGGATTAAATTCCTTCGGATTAGGAAAGGTTTCAGGGTCGTGGTGAATATCCCTAAACCAAATCAAAACTTTCCATCCCTTGGGAATGGTATAACCTGAAGCACAAGTGATTTAGATTTAGTTAATACCATTTGCGTAGAATAATTTTGTTTTATAAACACCATTCAAAATCAAAATTATGTATCATATTTTTTTTTTTTGATCGGCAAAAAGAATACTTTATTGATGGAAAAAGAAAAATTACATCAATAAAGAGGAGCTTGGAGCTAAAAACAAGCTCCAACCTCCAAGTTGGTGAGAAACCAACGAGCCAACAAAACAGAGGAAAAATAAATAAGGAAAACCAAATAGGAAAGTCACTATAACACCAAACACCAGAGCAGACAGCACAGCCCTCAAATCAGGTTCTGCAGTTAGTTAGACACCAAGACAGAACATATAAATCAGATACAGCAGAACAGATAGATCAAGCCCAAAACTACCCACAAACAGTTTTAAACCAACACTGCAACAGATTAGATCAGATACAGCAGCAGTCCATCCAACTGATTAAATACAACAGCAGCAGCAGATAGACAGATCATCCTCTGCATCAGTTGGACCAGAGCAGAATCACCCAGAAACAGCAGTACATAAGTTATATCCTCATTACATTAGGCAGAATAGCACATTTTGCAAATTATACACCAGATCATCAACAGAATAGCAAAAGGAAGGACTAAAGGCCCTGAACCACATTGCAACCCGTGTTTTGATAAGATCACACAACTTTCCAAAATCCAACTGTGACTCGTTAAAGATGATTTCATTCCGTAGCTTCCATAACGACCAAAGCACTGCCAGTGGAATAAGCTTCCAAATTACCTTCAATCTGTTTTTGCATCTAAACCCAGCCCACCATTGAATAAGACCTACCACTGACCCCGGCTGTACCTAAGATACGCCCCACCATCTAATAATATTAGACCAAACTCTCCAACTAAATGAACAACACAGCAGCACATGGGTTACAGTTTCCCTTTCCTTTCTGCAGAATACACAATTAACATCAGAGTTGGCACTTAGGATTCCAATTCTTTGCAAATATGTAGAAGTCTTGATCCTCCCTTTCCATGCTAGCCAAGCAAAAAATTCGGAGGTGCTGCATTCTTCCAAATGAGCTCCACCACTTTTGCAGGCATGGTAGATGTTAACTCACTCCACTTGTAGGCAGACGAAACAGTAAATATTCCAGATCTGTCCGCAGCCCAAGACAACCCAACTTCCCATTGAAACAGTGCTCTTCTAAAAGACAAGTCCCACTCCCCACTACCAGTACTCCTACTCTTAATCACTGCCACTGATATACCTTGCTGCATAGATACAAAGTATAATCTAGGGAATAGGTTCTTTAAACAGTCACCACCAACCCATTGATCCAGCCAAAAACTTATGCGCCTCCCATCCCCAATGGTGATCTTTGAGTTGGCCTTAAATACCTCCAGCAGCTGTGGGCACTTAAAAGCCACCTTCAAAATGTCCCTCCATTCCATAGAATATCTGTAATTTACATCTTGAACTGGCCACCTAGATCCACCATTATGTGGGTACTTGCTAGTAATCACTTGTTTCCAAATAGATTCAGACTCACTCCCAAACCTCCACCACCATTTGAGAAGAAGGCATTCATTCATGGTTCTCACCTTTCTAATACCTAGACCCCCGTTACTTTTGCTTTGAGTAATTTCTTCCCATTTTACCATATGAATTTTCCTTCTAAGTTCATCACCCCCCCACAAAAATCTGGACTGAATTTTATCAATCTCTTTGGCTATCCCTTCAGGCATTCTAAACAAAGACAAGTAAAACACTGGTAGTGAAGATAGCACAGACTTGACCATTGTCAACCGACCAGCGAAGGAAAGAAGCCTACGCTTCCATGAAGCTAGCTTTGATTTGAATTGATCGATGACAGGTTGCCAAGACTTTCTCCTCCTTGGATTAGCCCCCAATGGAATCCCTAAATACTTCAAAGGTAGTTTGTGATGCAGACAATTCAGTATGGCAGCAAAATCTTTTGTAAGGTCTTCATTAATACCAACACCACTCACTACACTTTTGTGGTAGTTTATCTTCAACCCAGACAAGATTTCAAAACATCTCAATATTCTTTTGATATTAAGCACCTCCTCCCTCCTTGCCTCACAAAACAAGATTATGTCATCAGCAAATTGTAGGTGAGTAATAGTAAGATCATTTGAACCAACTGATGCACCCTTGATCAATCCAGCCTGGACAGCTCTATGTAACAGAATATTTAGACCCTCAGCTACAATGTTAAATAGAAAGGGGGATAAATGATCACCTTGTCTGAGACCCCTTTGAGGACTAAACTCAGCTGTAGGTGATCCATTCACCAGAATAGAGATTTTGGCAGTTGAGATACATTCCTTCATCCATCTGATCCATTTTGCACCAAAACCAAAATTTACTAACATGGAGAATAGAAACCCCCAATTTATTGAATCATATGCTTTCTCGAAGTCAAGCTTTAATACAACACCTTTCTTTTGCTTCTTCTTCCAATCATCAACAATCTCATTAGCAATCAGGATACCATCAAGCATGCTTCTACCCCCTATAAAAGCTGATTGAGACCCACTAATGATCCTTGGTAAAACAGCTTTGAGTCTACTAGATAACACTTTGGAGAGCACTTTGTACAATGATCCAATAAGACTAATCGGCCGAAAATCACTGAGAGAATAAGGATTTTCATTCTTAGGAATCAAGGCAACAAAGGAGCTATTAATACCAAAGACCAGCTTAGAATTGGTATGAAACTCACTCATGAACTTCATCACATCCCCTTTAATTATATGCCAACATTTCTGAAACATCAAAAGGTTAAATCCATCCGGGCCAGGGGCCTTATTCCCATCACAACTCTTAATAGCTGTCATAACTTCAGATTCTGTGAACTCAGCTTCCAAAGCAACACGCTCCTCTTCTTCCCCAATAGACTTAAAAGGACCATTTAAACTTGGTCTGTCAAACCATGATTCTGAAAACTGCCTCTGAAAGTGATTGAGCACTTCTGTTCTAATTTCCTTAGGATCTTCAGTGAAGACCCCATTAACCTCAATTGAGCAAAGTGCATTTCGATTCCTTCTCGTGGAGGCCATGGTATGGAAAAATTTAGTATTTCTATCGCCTTTTAGTGACTAGTTAGCTCTAGACTTTTGCAACCATACCCATTCAACCATTTTACTCAAATTCCAAGCTTCGCCTTTTAACTCCCTAAATTTAGATCTCTTTGCCTCAGTGAGTACTCTTTGCTCAGCTAACAAATCCAAGGCATGTAACTCCTCCTCCAGTTGCTTTAGCTTTGAATCCACCTTACCAAACACCTCCAGGTTCCATCTTTTCAATGCTGCTTTAAGTAATCTCAATTTTTGTAGGCATTTGAATCCAGCCCAGCCACTGACATGAGATTCAGCCCAAACTTTCTGCACAAAGGTCTTAAACTTCGGATGAAGACACCAGGCATTTAGAGACCTAAAAGGCTTTGGACCCCAATCTCTTTCATCTTCCATCATTAAAATAGGACAATGATCCGAGAGCCTTCTTTGTAAACCCCACAGTTTAAAATTAAATTTTTGCAACCAATCTGGGCTGAGTAGAAATCTGTCCAGCCTGCTCCATTTGACACCATTCTGAGAATTACACCAAGTAAACTTTCTCCCCAACATTGGTAAGTCACACACTTCCAGGTTTTCGATTAGCTCGTTAAAATCCTTCATACCACCACATCTTTGGGAACAGCCGACCCTCTCAGAATAAAACCGAATCTCATTAAAATCACCTCCCAAACACCAAGGGTTAATAAAGTTTCTCTTTAAATTCTTCAAAGTTTCCCATAATCCCTTCCTCTTAGCACTATCGGTCGGGCCATAGACATTGACAATAACACAATCTAGACTAGAAAATAGAGTTCCAGACAAAATGATAAAATACCTGTTACAACAACAGTCCAGCATTTGAAAAACTTGTGGATTCCAGACACACAATAATCCACCAGCTGCACCCTCTGAGTCCACCGCCATATACTCCATCTGCTCCCCAGGCCAACAAGATCTGACAAATTCCTCAGTTATATCAGGTCTCTTAGTTTCCTGAAACAGTGCCACATCCACCTTCCTTTCGAAGAGAAGTTTTTTGATTTTTCTCCTTTTCATGGGCTTGCCTAGCCCTCTAACATTCCAAGATAAGACCTTCATTAACACAAATTTGCACACCAAGAGCTCCACAGCAGATACATATTATTCTGCCTTACTGCCCCTTTTACCCAGCACCTCATTATCCTTAACTTCCAGTTCCATCAATTTGCTAATTACTTCCTCATCCTTACCTTTACATTTCAGCCCAAGCAGTTTCCCTATCTTCAGAGATGCTTCTGCCTCATTAAGAAGCAACTGGCTAGAGACTGATTTGCTTGCCATGGACAATGAAATAGCTGCAGCTGCCGACCGAAAAATAGCTCCCTTCCTGAAATTCAACACTGATCCAACCCCTATTTGTATGTTTCCTTTTTTCTTCCTCTGGTATTTCACCATCCCTTTACCTTTTTCTTTTATGGTAGTCTGCCTTGTTTGATCTGCCACTGCCAGAGAACAAGTTTCTACACCGTAGGTCTCCTTTACCACACTGTCAAGAGCTTCTTCACCTTTGCTATTTTGGACTTCATCCTCCTCTATTAGCTGATCCTTTGGATCACTTAACTCTGAATATCTATGGCCCAGGGTGTTACAACACTGTAGGACATGGGCCTTATGTAATAGCACCTCTAAGTTAAGCCCAGGTGCATTTTTTTCTGGCCCACTAAGACTCTTCATAAAGCCTGGAGTAACAACATCATCTGCTACAATCTGGTTACCTTCAATTTGAATCGGAATGGGAGTTGGCCCTGATTTGACTGACAGACATCCGCAAGCTTCACCTCCACCTCCAGGTTGCTTCGGCAGACAGTCCAGCTGCCCTATCGACATGATGGACTCCTCAACCCTAGATACACTTAGCTCCCTCTGTTGTCCATCAATAGCCGTATGATCATCATTTCCTACCCTTAGCCCCTTTGCCCCCACAACATCTGTGTTATCCAGCTCACCACCACCACCGTGGCCCTCCACATCAGCTACATCTTCACCCTCCTTGCTCCCTACAATGGATCTCTGCTCTTGATCCTGCTCCTCACCATTTGAATTTGAATATGCCATTTGGGGCTGTTCACTACAACATTTACATTGCTTGTATATCACCTTTGAGATTACCACCTGTTCTTCACACACCTTGACTGGAAAATCGATTCCCTTGCATCGCAGAGTAATGGTTGTGTTTATGGACTCCATACACTTAGTAGCAATCCTCACCTTACCACTGTGAAAAGACATCATTCTGGATGTATCCTCATCAATGCCTATGACTTCTCCCCATGCCCTTCCAATGCTACTAAAAGTTTTGCTACTCCAGAGATTTAGGGGAACACCATAACAAGTGAGCCATACAGATCTTTCTTGATCGAGGATCATCCCCTGCTGCCATACCTTGACGGATTCGCACCATGACTGACTCCACACCTCCATCGATTTGAGCTTCTCATTCAAGGAGCCCGCAGATTCAAACGTTAGCACAATATCTCTTCCCCCTCCATCTCTAACGTAAACATTTCCCATTCCTCTGTTCTTCAATTCCTCTTTGAACTCCTCCGCACGTATGTGAGGTTTCAGTCGAACAATCGCGCTTTCATACAACCAACCATTACCCTCCTCGTAAGTTTGGATACTAATGTTTGAATTTGAAGCCAGCCCTGAACCAGTCAATATTTGTGCAGACCGTTCAAGCCTGCAGACACGATTAAAAATTATCACAGTAAATATACGTATCCATATTATCTCTCATTTCCTACAATTTATCATAAGTAAACATAACTATTTTAACATATGGAATAGTTGTTGCTAGCAAATATTGAAGTTATGTGATCAAGGACGAAACTAGGGTCTTATTGAGGAATGCCACCATAAAAAAAAAAAAAAGGAAAATGAGAGACGACTATGATGATTGACTCTGGTTGATGGTGATGATGATAGGTTTCTTCGGGTTTCATTAGTTTGAGATACACGTAAAAGTACTCACTTGTAACCAAGAAGAAAATAGTGTAGAAAAATAGCAATTTCTAGCTTCGCAAGCTCATTTCCAGGGCACAACCTGGTTCCTGCTCCAAAGGGAACAAAAGATCCTGCTTTGGGAGTAAGTCCCTAAACAAAATGTAAAACATTTTAGCATATTACATCCTAGCACAAATACAAACATGTATAATATGCTATATATGTGTAAATCAATTGAGAATAAGAAAAGAAGTGGTGCTATCGAACTTACATCCCATCTAGAAGGATTAAATTCCTTCGGATTAGGGAAGGTTTCAGGGTCGTGGTGAATATCCCTAAACCAAATCAAAACTTTCCATCCCTTGGGAATGGTATAACCTGAAGCACAAGTGATTTAGATTTAGTTAATACCATTTGTGTAGAATAATTTTGTTTTATAAACACCATTCAAAATCAAAATTATGTATCATATTGATCACCACATTTTACAAATCCACTTTTTCAATTGCATTCTGAAGCAGCTTACATTGAGAATAACATCAAAGTAAAGCAGAAAAAAGTAGAACAGAAAATTCAGTTGTATAAACTAACCACTTATATTGACATCTGCTTTTGCCACTCGGAAGACAAAACTTGAGAATGTTACCACTCGAAGTGTTTCATCAATCACCTTCAAGAGAGGCAACTTTAATTACATTTTTTTCTTTTTCTTTTTTAATTTTTTATTATGAATTAACTCAATAGTAACGGAAAATCCATAAAAGTGAAAAATAGAAATTAAAATGAAAAATTCATGTACCTTAGAGAGATACTCCATTTGTCGTACTTCCTTGAGTGTCAACCCCTTCTGTGTAGGTGGCCTATTCCTAACAATTGCTTCTTGCTCTGCCTACAATGCATACATATTACCACTAAATTCAAGAAACAAATTTTGAAATTTAAAGAAAAACTTCAAACTCAATCCTAATGAATTAGTGATATGGCCATGATAAATATCTTGCCATATTGCCAAGGATAGATAAGAACCCATCCCACATTAGAAGTTTGTAGGGGTAATTTTGGGCATATATAGGGCCACTGGTTTGCTACTAAGTAACTTGGGCTTAGGCTTTTGGATGATATTGGTAGACCCACAGGTTACTTAAGCTAACAAGTAGTTGGGGCGTTACACAATTCACATGACTCTTGTAAAAGTATAGTTTAGAGAAATTGTTTTAATAATTGCAGTTCAAGTTGTCTATTTGACACACCAATTTTTTGTCACCCCTACTTATAATTTAACAATGAGAAAAGCTAAGGATCATGAAAAAACTTTCATGAAAATAATCATAAAAGAATTATGACCCTTGGATTACCTTGATTAGTGTGTGGTGCTTTATTTTAAGTGTAATCCAAGAGTCATAAATCTTTCATGATCATTTTCATAAAAAAAAATTCATGATACCTAGTATTGCTCTTTAACAATTATTCTAAAATTTTAATCACAGCATGTCATGTTGAATTTCTATGCTCAAATTTGTATGTTATGTATCCTATTGTTGTGCACATGCATACATATTTTCATTTTCGAAGGACTAGACAAATGAATAGAATAAAGACAACAAATTTGTAGATCACAGAAATTGCCCACTATGACCGGCATATAATCTTGAATTGCAACTGACAAAAATTGATAGATTCGAAGTGTAATAATGCAATATAGAAGAATTACAATGGCTAAGGTGACAGTTTTTTGGAGTACCTTAGCTCTTTGAAATACTTCCGGGTGCTCCTGTAGAAAGAGGGTTGCCCACATTGTAATGTGGCCGGAAGATTCATGACCGGCATTTAGATACATCACTAGAGTATCAATGATGTCCTCATCACTCAATCTTCTTCCATTCTCGTCTTCAATATCCATCATAGCATCCATCATATCTTTCTTCGGTGTTGGTGCGTTGTTCTTTCTCTGCTCCCTTCGATCATCCACTATGGATTGAAAAATAGCCACAAGATTTTTTCGCGCCTGCAATTTAGTTAACCTGCTTAACTAGATCCCAAAATCTAAAAAACCATTTCTAATTGATAAACAAGATTGATATTCAAAGATGTATTTAGTTTACTTGGTTTCAAAATTATGTAGTTTTAACATATTTCTTCATGGAAACATGCTTAGAAAGTTGTTTTTGAAAGGAAAAAATTGTACACTTTGTGTCATTTTGACAATTTAACCCAAATATTTAGTAGCTCTACTATGCCAAAGAAACTCATGGACCACTTTTAGCTAACAAAAAACAAGTACCATTCATGGTTTTGTAGCTTATGTGATTCAAACAAAAAATTCACATTTTTATGGTAACATTAGGAAATACTTCATGAAACATGCCATAAGACTCTTTGTCCCGAAATCCTTCTATTCGCTTGTGCCAATGTGCTCTCGATCATATGGTCATGTCTCAAAATTCTCATCACATCTTGTAACTGTGAATACATTGAGGACAAAGGACAATGGAACCATGGGCAATGAAACCATATATGAGAGACAAAATAGCCAACCTCACCTTTGAGTGCTTTATGGTAACACACACACATATATATATATATATATATATATTTTCATTTCCTATCCCAGAATCCTTGTCCATCTATCTAAATGTACTCTTAGTCATACTATTTTGTCTCGAGATTCTTATTTCTTGAGATTCAATCATATTTGGCAGTTGAGAGGACATAGGGACCTACCTATGAAATCATATATAGTAGAAAAGAGCAAACCTCACCTTGAGTGCTTTATGGAATGCAAATCCTGGGATATTGATTTCCATGGCTCTAACTCCATAATTAAGTGCTCTATATTCCTTCTCCAAGGCCGCCATTACTTTCTCACCTACTGAGCTTAGAAAAATGTGCATAATTATCCTAAAAGTGAGCTGGCGAAGCTTGGTTAAAAACTCTATCTGTCCCATGTCAGCCCATTTGTCCAATGCCGATATTACATTATCTTCAATATATGTCATGTAAATGGACAATGCCTCATGACCATTGATCGGTGCTGCAGTTAACCGACGCATGCGTTTGTGTTCCTCATAGGTTATTGAAATGAATGATTTTCTCCCAAAGAGTTTCACAGTCGAGGTAGGCCAACCGGGCTTGAAATGTTCATCGTCGTTTAGCACTCTCTTGCTTGCTTCAGCTGTTGTAACAATGATACTAGGGTTTCCAAACATGAAGACCTTGTATAAACCGCAATGTCCAAATCTGCATTACATTAATTTTTTCATAATAATGTAAAGGCATCCAAACAAAGCTATAAAAAAAATTATAAAAAAAAACATTAATATTCAACACATATTAATACAAAGAAAATACCCAAGTTCCATAATATTTTGTCCGGAAATAGAAAACTTAAGTGTATTAGTTGTATTTAATTCTTTCTTCTTCTTTTTTTCTCATGTTTTAGTAGCAAAAATAATAATAAGTTCAAGAACTCATATCGTGTTCATTTTTTAGCAAAAACGATTTTCAAAAGTTTGAAATACCATTTTAGTGTTTCTTAAAAAGCGAGTTGTTTTGGGAAAAAAAAATTTGAAAAAGTTTTGGGAAACAACCCATCACACAAGTTTTCTTTCTTTCTTTCTTTCTTTTTTTAATGAAAACAAATAATAGAAAATAAAAACACAACCAAAGGATGACAAGAGTTTAACATTTGACTCTACCAACTTGACTTGAAATGCTATGTAAACAGAGTATGGCTTACAAGTTAATTACGATAACGGGCCAGTTGGTGAAGTTTTTTCCTTTTTCTTTTTTTTTCTTTTTTCTTTTTTGTGGATAACTAAGCCATATTATAATAAAAAAATAAAGGTATACAATGAAATTCAATATACATTTTTTGTAAGGGGAACAAAAATAAATTATCCCATCAAAAGAAACAAACTAAACCTATAGAAGACAAACACAACATTCACAACAAAGAGGATTCAAAATTTTCCTCTGACACTCTTTAAGTTAAGAAGTTTCATTTTGAGTTTTCTTTAGTTATCCTACTTTGTAGTCTCCCCATTACTGAGGTTGCTTGGGGATGGACTCCCTTTATTTTTTAAGGTCTTCATTTGACAAAACAACTCTTGACTTAATCCATTCCCTAACTCTCCCATTTCACACGATCCAGATGGTGAAGTTGGTGAAGTTCTACTTGATTGATAATAAAAAAATAAAAATTAAAAGTTTTCCTCTTCCATTTTTTAGATAATTAATTTTTTTTCTACTTATTTAAATTATTTTTTTTATCTCATAAGCTATAAATAAAAGTTGAACATATAATTTAGTGCAAATTTTTAAAATAATTAATACAAATATCTAAAAATTGCTCCAAAAGTTGTACTAAACAGGGCAACATCATATCATCAAGACTTTATTTTTATTTTATTTATTTATTTATTTTTTAAACATATGACTTAGGCATGTTAGATTTGTGGATAGAAGATCATAGAGGCTTAGTCCAAAAATATGGAAAAAAAGATGAATGGGGCCTTAATGCATATTTGAGCTGAATAATTAGAGGGTTAAAACCTCAAATTCCAAGTGATGGAACTGAGATTTTCAAGGTGGGGCTCATACAATGTGCCCAAAATTTTCAATAATATTGATTGGATTTATGCTACAAATAATCAAATGGTTGTATGATTATGTCCACTCAATTAAGAATTTCTCTTTTTGCTTAACCTTTTCCGTACAAAAAGTTTTTCAAATTTACATTAAAATAATGACTGTCTTGACTTAAAGGCTCACAACAGCAACAATTAGTTATTTTGTGGTAATAAAACCAGTTACGTGCCTATGTCTGTAGCTGAACTGATATAACGTAAAATAAAATGATATTCTAATGACTCCCAAAGAATTGTCTCAAGCATAAATCACTAAAGTATTGATTAGTGAGACCACCATGGAGAGTAAAGTAAAAACATTAAATATTCTTATATTTATGAATTAATATATATTATAACATTGCACATGTTTCTGTTAATGAATATATATATATATATATATATATTATTCTTTGTATTTCATATTTAGATTAGGAAAATACTTGTGACTCCCACAATTTTTGACCCCCACAACCCCCAATTGATTTGTAGTCACAAATTATTTTTTTTTAAATTTTCCCCCCTCCCCTCTCTCTCTCCTCCCTCACTTACATGTGTGTGTGTGTTGGGTAGGGGGGGTTGTTCTGGAGCAAAGTCCTTTAGATCATAGGCTCCGTTCTATTAGGTATGTTCAATATTTACCTTATGCTTTTCCTACCTTATTCTTTCCCTTGTACAACACTCCTACATAGTACTATATATATGTACCCATAGCTTTGTATTGTAAAATACATCAATTGAATACAATTCTTTCTCTTCTCTCTTTCTCTTTTCTCTTTTCTCTTTCTTATTTGTCATATGAATATTTTGTTTTCATGGTATCAGAGCCAAAGGTGAAAATCCTTCATCCTCTTAATTCCTATAGTATACAACTATACTTCTCTCAATCTGCAAAGTAATCAAAGTTGTTGAAAATCAACTTCTGTATACATCAAACTCTTCTTATCATTACCAAGAGTTCAATGGTGCAAAAATCAAGGCCAATCTGCCTCACCTTCTGTATATATTTTAACGCGCCACACGTGCAAGCACGTGTCGTCTCTGCCCTTCTTGGCTGACGCCATCTCTGGCATCATCCTACACGTTAGCCTCTTGCGCTTAGCGTCAGTCGACTTAGCCAATACTCTATCATTGGCTTCCACCCGGCTTGTTCTAGCGTTAAGATCCTCTAGAGTGTATTCTCTAGAGTGATCTCCTAGAGTGATCCATCAAGGGCTAAGATTAAGTCTCACCAAAACGACGTCGTTTTGGTGAGTAATTTCAAAAAAAAAAAAAATTCTGATTTCAAAACATCCCATATGTTCCCGTTCCTGTGAAGCAAGAGAGAGAGAGAGAGAGAGAGAAGGTAAAAGAGTTCCCAGAACTTAATGGTTTGGTTGATGAATTCAAGGGCTTTGGTTGATGCAACAAAGAGAGATTTGCAGAGAAAGAGTAAGTAGGACTTACTTGGATTTGGGTGGATTGGAGATGTTGGATCTGGAATTAGAAGATGGGGCTTGTTGGATGAGTCTGGTTCCTCCATTGATGAACTGAGCTCTTCCTCTTCAATTGAAACTTAAACCCAGTTCCTCCACTAATGAACTGAGCTCCTCCTCTTCAATTGAAACTCAAACCCAATTTATCGAACTTAAACTCAATTACTCAAACCCAGTTTATGCAACTCAAACTCAATTCTTCCTCTTCGATCTTCAATTTATTGAACCCCATCCAACCATAACTCCCAAATCAAGAAAAACTTATTAATATAAAAATTAAAAAATCCAAATCCAAACACAACAATAATTTACAACCTTTCCTACAAACCCATAGGAAAATAATCCCAAAGAAAAAAAAGAGCATTTGGTCAAATTTCGTCAAAATTAGTTTTTTTTCAGCGAATATTGTTTGGTTTATTCGTGCATATTCATTGGGATTGTTGGTCGGTGAATTCGAAAATCTCGATCAATTCATGGAAATTCGATGATGGGTTTCCGCAACAAAGTTGATTGCCTCTGTGAAGTTTCCGACGGTGAAGGCAGAAATCGATGAGCAGGGAGAGAGAAAGAAGGAGAGCAGAAAATGAAAGAATTTTCTTTTTCCTCACCAAAGTAATCTCAACCTTTAATTTTATTAGTGGGACACGTGTCAAGCCTTAAAAAATCACTCTAGAGGATCACTTCACCCATATCACTCTAGAGAATCCTTGCGCCTTGTTCTAGCCGTGTGCCATGCTAGTCGTGCCCTTTGTGCTAATATACATCACGTCCCACTGCTGCTACTGTGCACCGCGCCCCACTCCTACCTAGTTTCATCCATTATTTTATTTTTTTCAGCCACTGTTCAATTTTATTTATCCAAAAAAGAAATTAATAAAAAAAATTATTTTATTTTTCCTTTGCTTTCTATTGGTTGTTCTGACATGGCCCAAGCAATTTCCATCATTCTTGATGGTTCAAATTACACCATTTGGGCTCAAGCCATGTCTAGTTTACTTAGAGGAAAAAAGTTATGGCCTCTTGTTACTAGTACTACTGTCAAACCTATTAAAAATACTAATGAACTTGCCTCTAAATATGAAAAACGATTTGATGACTGGGATAGTAAAAACCATCAAGTCAGCACATTGCGACGTAATACTTCCATTGTCTCCATTAATCTTCAATTTGGGCGCTTTGACACAGCAAAGGAAATCTAGGATTTTCTAAAGGCTCGTTATAGCACCAATGTCCTTGCTCACCAATATCAACTTCTTAGTCAATTTCATCACATGCACCAAGAGTCTGGTCAATCTATTAATGTTTTTTTGTCCCAGATGTATGCCGTTTGGGATTAACTATCTTTGTCTGAACCTGAATGGAACTGCAAGGAAGATGATAGTCAGTTGTCCAAATATTGAGATGAACAACGCTTGACATCTTTTCTGATGGCTCTTCAAGATGATTTTGAGCCTGTTGGAGCTTCTCTTCTCTACCGTCATCCACTTCCAACTTTGGAACATGCCATCTCCTAGCTTTTTTATGAAAAACTCGTCTTGGCTCTCTCAAATCTCCACAGACTCATAATGTTCTTGCTACTTCTTATTAGCCTAGCAAATCGTCCGTTGCACAATCATGTACTTATTGCCATAACTCTGATCATGGTTTACTTACATGTCCAATCCGGATTTGTAAGTGGTGTAAGAAGACTGGTCTTGGCCATTATCAGAGTGATTGCTTCAAAAATCCTAATCGCCAACCTTGTGACAGTCGTTCCAAATGAGGTCAATCTTGACCCCATTACCGCTATCGGCCCACTGCTCATTCTCATTCTGCTGCTGCCATTGCTATTGTTGCCACATCTTTCTTCTGTGTTGCTTTTTATGAGCCCAACTAAACCTTCACACTTCATGGCATTGAATCCAAAATCAAACAGGTTCTCTCTACTTTTGGTACACCCTCTACTGCTCTTTCAGTCACCTCAGGTACCTCATCACAATTCTTTGATTCTGCTTGCTGCAATCATATGACATCTGATTCTACTATTTTCTCTTTTACCATGTATACCTCTAATATTCTTGTCATTTACATTACTGATGGCTGTCTCATGCATGTTAGCCATATAGGTCATGTCTCTATTTATACTATTTCCCTTCCT